TGCTGTTGTCTTTGAAGACCGGTCTGTGGGAAAGATAATAATTGTTAATTTGTTCATCTTCTTCTGTTACTTCTTCTATTACTTCAGATTCGAGCCATTCTTCGAACACTGCATTGTATGTTTCCAATTTATCTGTCAACATGAGCTTCTTTGTCGTGGAAATCGATCGCTTTTCAGCAACTTCTCTGTTACTTGGTAAAGCTTCTTTATCGTTGATCCAAGGTAAGCTGACTTCATAGCGATCATCCACCCTCTTCAGAGTCTTGTGAAAGTGATCCCACACTGCTTCTTCTAACTCTGAATCAGTTTTATTTTCTTTAGCATCTGTAATTCCCAGTGCTTCTAGCTTCCACAAGTTTTCTATGTCACTGCTGTGAGTCAACATCGACATTATTGTTGAAGACATGGACAAGGAGTTTCTTTCTGAAACGTTATCTTTTATCTTTCCCATGATTGTCCATCCAAGTAGTGATTCCACGGCAGTAAAACCATTTTCTAATTTCTGAATTCTTCCGGTTAACAGAGCACCTGCGAGCTCCAGCTCCAATAAGAACTTCTATTTTCAAATCCTTTTTTCCTACATCAGATGCATGGATATTCTTCTGTCTTAGTTCTTCTATCCATGGTCCAGGCTGTAAACTGACTACTGGTCCACAAATCTTCGACTGTTCCAACAAGATTAGTCGTCTAGAAAAATCACCTCTTAGGCTTCTAACGTTCACTTCATAGCGTTTGTGAATTTCTCTCTTTGTTGTTACTCCTCCAAAAAGTGCATGAATTAAAGATTCAGATCCAATTGCGTGGCACCCTATGTCTACAGCAGTCTCCTTTAATATGTATGAACGTTGCGATCCTGTGTCGATAAGTGCCCTTACTGTCTTCTGCTTTTTGTTTGCGTCGATATTAATTAATAGTGTTTGAAGAAACACTTCATCTAGGAAATTAGTGCTCGCAAGTGATACGTTTTGTGTTTCCTCTTCTTTATTCTTTTCAACATCATTGCTCTTTTGATTGGTGGGCAAATCCGGACACATGACACCCCAATGTCTTTTCGAGCATATCAAACATCGTACATTTGTCTTGCATTGCTTGGCCCTGTGTCCAATTTTGAGGCAGAAGAAGCAACCCTTCTTTTTCTTAATTTCATCATTCTTTTGACTCAGTCTGAGCAACAAAGCAATCTCGAACTTTCATGAAATTTTTTCACAAAATATGCAAGAATTCTTCTCACTATAATTGGTTGCTTTATTATGGCTGGCTTGAGAATAAATCATTTGCTGTAGGCACGAAATGTTCACTCTAGTACCTTTTATCTCTTCTACTTTCTCTCTTTGCACCCGAATCAATTAATTTAAATCCAGCTTTTGCCAAAGAAATTCTCTGCTCTCCTTCCACTTCATTCTTTAAAAACAATAATAATTGTTTCAATTTCTCAGAGTGAGAATTTTCTGCTGTAATTATTGATGCATGATTTCTAAGCCAAACTCGTAAAATTTCCTCGGGAATGCAAGATTCCACGAGCGGTAAACAGCATTGCAGCGTATTTATCGCTTGTCATTCCTATTGACTCCAACGAACGTAAATACGACTCTAATTTGTCATACAATTCTGATATACTGCATTTTCCCTTTTGATCAGTGACATTTTTAATAATCAAACCTAATAATTCCCGAATATAGAATTCTACCAACGATTCTTCCCTGCCGAACCTATTTTTTAAGCTTTCTATAACTTTTTCATAATTTTCGGCAGTTGCAGGAAAGCTATTTACAATATCACGGGTTCTCGTACCGGGTACGGTCGCTTGAACGAGATAATGCATCTTATCCTCGTTTTGAATTTCTTTATCTTCACGTATTCGCCGAAATTGCCCCCAAAACGGTAACCAATCTTTAATTTCGCCACCGAATTGTTTTAACTCTATTTTAGGTAATTTCAGTTTCCGTTTGTTCGAATTCGGGGGAACACTGCTAGTAAATTGTATCAGTTGGTGATTGAAGAATAATTCCGTTTTTACTCGTATTAAATCTAAGTTTTCTTTGTATTTCGCCCATTCATTTTCAAACTGATCATTTGAAGAAAATTTTGAATTAAATATTTGAGTATCAAATGCATTAAGTTTAACAGATAAACATTCTAAAGTAACAAGTTTCGTTTTTGCAGATTTTTCATCAGGAATTTCCTTTGCTAATTCCTGCAAAATTGCATTAACTGTGTTCACGTAAAAGATGCTCTGATAGGTTTCCGTTTCTCAATTAACGATTCGATTTCAATAAAAATAAATTCAATAAAATAAAATAGAATTAAATTCGATAAAACCAATAAAATTACCTTGACTTGATTTACCGATCACGTCCGAGTCACCAAAAATTGTTCGAGATTTGCAAGAACTAACCGTTCTCCTTTCTCTTAATAAACTTAAAAATAAAATAACTTTACATATAAAATTCCAAAGCTTCGTATTCATTTTCAAAATCCGTAGAACTCCAGCAAACTACAACAAAGATCAGGTTGTTGCCACTCTTACAGTGACAAAGTATGAAAAGAAAGATAACAACTGAGGCTGGGTTCTAACACCCACAGCTGTGTCTAGCTATTTTTTCCACCTACGACCAAAACGTTATGAGGTATTTTGCCCACCTTCTTAGTATGCCTTCGTGGTGTAGTGGTGAGCACGTTCGGTGCGTATTCGAGAGGTCGGTAGTTCTGGTCCATTTTTTTTATCTCTCTTGCTTTAAAAAAAAAAAAAAAAAAGAACACCCACCACTTTATGTCTCTTAAAAGATAAATACTGACCTCTGTATATTGTCAAATTATATATATTTATAGACTGCCATTTCATCAAACGTTATTGTTTTAAATTATAATACTCTTAAGTTTTATAATATTTTTAATCGTAGCTCTATATACAGAAATATGATACAAGAAATAATTGAGAGCAGGGATCAGTAACCTTGTAGCTGTGGTGTTCCAAACCAATATGATTCAGGAAGCCAAACAGTAGGAAATACCTGAAACATCTCTATTCCTGCGACAATGCATGCAAAGTTCGGGAATAGAGGACAGGAATACAGATTTAGAGTTTTATTATGTATCAGTTAGGCATCATTTAAAGCTATTTATTAAATCAAAAATGAAAATTTTTAAATATAACTATTCCTTCAACATAAATAAAAAAATTACATATACACTCTTTTGAAAACAAATCGGAGCACCAAGAAGGACTTTTACGATCGTGACGAAATTTGGTATGTAAAAACATCTTGATCGAACACGCAAATGATCAAAGTTTCAAGGCAAATAAATGAACAAGAATTGCGATCATAGCTCGCGTTTCTTGTGTGCAATTCGCAAAATATAAAACCAGTAACAGAGGCGGAAAACGTATATTTTTTGTTGCTGCCATTTAATTCCGTAAAGAAGCAACTAAAGTTGCCATTACGACGATATCGAGGACTTTATAGACAACGAAACGACTTCGAAGTGGTCGCATTGTAAGGTTGCGTGAAGCTAGGTGGTCGTATATAGCAATAGGCCGCCACCTGCAGCGTACAGACGTATAGTGTTCAGCGATGAAACCCGTTTCACTCTGGAAGCAGATGATCACCGTGTTCGTGTCTGGTGAGGGCTGGACCAGCGGTCCCAATCAGCCTTTGTTTTACAAAATCGTACAGCACAGCCATCACCTCTGGTGTGATGGCTATTTCTTATGACAGTAGGTCATCTTTAGTCATTTTCCGTACATCTTTAACAGCTCAACGATATGTTATACCATCCTGCGGCCGGTTGCATTACCCTTCATGGCACGTCATCCTGGAGCTATTTTCCAACAAGATAATGCCAGGCCACATATCGCTCGCGTGCAGTTGATACTTTTCCTTGGCGAGCAAGGTCACTACACCTTTCACCAATAGAGCATGTCTGAGATATGGTAGGCCGTCAGATTCGGCTACCACAAAATATCGTAGATCTGGAGCGACAATGATGAATACCTGGCAGAATGTGTCGCAGGATGACATTAGGAAACTCTGCCACTCCTTGCCTCGACGAATTGAAGCATGCATTGCCGCTAGGGGCGGTTCGACCAACTACTAATTTGAACACTTCAATGGGTGATTGTGAGCCGTGAACAGGTAATACGACCTTGATTTTTTAATCATTTTATTATCTGTGTATGAGCTATACGCATATTCAGTTTCATTGTAAACAACCACTTCCTTCATGGGGCTTCGATTTTTTTTTTTTTTTTTTTTTTTTTTTGCGATAGAGTGTATTACGTATTATGTTTCTTTTAAACATACTAATTAAAATAAAAAATAAACGACATAAAATATAAGTATTATTTTAACTTAGTTAAATAAAAAGTTTAATGCAAACCAAGTCACTGTGCCGCTGTACATAATATCGCAATATCAGGGGTATAGTTTGTGACTTCCAATTTGACACATGATTCCGAATACTCTGCTGTTAAAACAACTTGGTGAATCCACCAAGTGGATTCAAAATGTTTTTCATACGAGAAAAGATTTGTTCACATTATATATGTAGACCAAAATCTAAAAATAAACCTTTTCTTCAAACAATTAAATTTTTTCCGGCAAACATCGAATACTTTAAAATAGGTGTCGATTTATCTTTCAGAGAGTTCAATAAGTTCCATTTCGAAATTATCAACTTCCATCCATTCAAAAATTGAAACATCTGATGGGATTATTAATGAGTCTATTAAATATGGTTTTATTAGGAAGGAAAATGTAGTCATAGAAGAATATGCGCGTCATTAGTATTTTACATTTTATATTGTAGGTATATATAATGAAGTATTTTGTTTTAATTGCTCAGTTTATTTTAATGGTATTAAAAGAAATCTGCGCATAATTTCCTATAGATCGTACGTTTTATGAAAAAAGTTTCATTTAAGAGTATAGCTATAGCTATTAAAATTATTTGCGCCTAAATAATGTTCTTTTTTAAATCTTTTTCGTTTTTGTTTTTCACAGTGAGATTGCAACTGAACAGACCTTTTATCACCATCCTCAATGATTTAGGAGTGAGACATAGAACATTTTTAAAATTGCAAGAAAAGATGTTGAAAACTTTAGTGCAAATGCTTTTCGAAGAAGAAGAGGCAGCTGCATTTTTGATATCTAAAACACCAGTTTTGCTGTTCCCATTTAAAGAATTGACTCGTTCTGGCATTTATTTGACAACAGAGCCGTTTTTTAGATCACTTCTTCTAGCACTGCATAGACACTGTGGTGGTAAGAAAATGTTTTATACTTTGTCGTATGTAAATGAGTTTAAGGGTGTAATTTCCAAAAGGAATGATTTATAAACAGCATTTTATTTTCTGTCAAAAATTTTTAAAAACCATTATAAATTTTCGTTATCGTTTTTGATCCGTTTGTTTTTAAATAGATTTTTAATTTTAAAAAATCTGATGTGTACCCCACATGACTTCCTTGTACGGAATATTATATTATACGTATTTTTTCTTGCATTTTATTTAAACTTATTGGATTGAATTAAATCTACTTCGCCGACAGCGCATAAACAGTAGAATAAATGCATTCTTTAAAATTCACTCTAGTATTTTCACTTAACAGTATTATATTTCGTTCATATTATAACTCATAACGCCCAAAATTTATATCATTTAAAGAATAGAATTATCTAACCGTTGCTACATGTTCTATTCAAATACTATAATAAAGCTAGAATGATGTATAAAAGAAAATTAAGCAAACAAAACAAGAAAGAAACAGTTTTTCACAGACGATTGAGTATTTCTCATTCAATTAATTCAGTTCTCACTTCGCGAGAAGGCAAAAATACATAAAAAACTCAAAATATCTATATTAAAAATTACGAAGTAAATCTTAAACGCTTATTTCCTCGAAAAATTCCAGAAAGGATTAAGCATGATTTAATTGGCAGTAATAAATGAAGGCATTATCTTTGTTGTTGCGAAGCTAAGTTTCTCTAGATTGGCAACAAATCCACTAGCCTGCTGTTTCAAATGTAAACAATCAATGGCCGCCATCAAAAAAAAAAGGCTTAGCGGCACTTAAACAACTTTAAAATTGTTGATAATTCTAAAAATATTGCATACAGATTTATTAAAGGCATAAAAACCTTAACCGGAAGATAAAAACAACATAATTCAATCATTTTTAAAGCAAAAAATATACAATTACAAACATATAAGAGTAAAGAAACTGAGATCACTGAGCCGAGTAACAGAGTGGATATATATATAAATATATTTATATACGTTTGGTGCGGCCGATTGCAACCAAAATACGAGGCGCACATATACATGCTATAGCAGTCCTATATACAAAATTTCAACGTTCTGAGGCTACTCGTTTTTGAGTTATGCGAGATACGTACGTACGTACATGCGTTCGTACAGACGCCAAGAAAAATTCTCTTCAAAATTAATTTTAAAGCAGTTTTATAATTTTTTTGGAGGAAACGAGTCTTATTCTGTCCTTACGTACAGATATCACGCAAAAACATCGTTAAATTGCATTCGGTAGCGGTCAAAATGGATATTTACGTACAGATATCACGCAAAAACATCGTTAAATTGCATTCGGTAGCGGTCAAAATGGATATTTTCGTTGAAATATGCTGCCTGAAACTTTTGCCGATTACAATACTTCCTTTTTACTTCGTACAAGGAAGTGAAAACAAACATGTTGAGCAATAAAGATGTTCGTATTGCATGTCTGCAAGCACTTAGCTACAGAACTTTGGCGATCAATGGTAAAATAATGTTATCAGCCGATAGATGGCATTGTAGAAAAGCCGCCGATAGGGGGCGCACGATATCAATCGAGAATCGGGAAGCGAGAGAATAGGATTGATGTTAAGAATGTTCCGTAATGATATGTATATATGTATATAATTATTGTAATAATAAAGCATTTATAAAATGCAAGAGTTACCCCGATTGAATGAAAAGTGAAAACCCGACTTACTCCTAGCCGTCCTGAAATTGATAACAGAGATTAAAGCTAACATTTCAGAAGTGAGATGATTGATGTAAGTACGCATTGAATGACTCGGGTACCAAAAACGTCGAAGAAGGGGTAAGTTTCGTTTTTAAAGATTTGAATGCATGCGAACTGTAGAATAATTCTAACAGAATTTAGAAGTATAGAATTATATTATTAAGTAATATTATGGATGAGAATACAAAGAAAGCTTTAGATAAAGCAAAAACAAAACGTAAAACGTTAAGAAGGTTAACAACACAAGTAATTAACAGAATATGTGAATTATTAGAACAGGATATTGTAGATACAAAATCATTAGAAGAATGTGATATGAATCTACAAGAAAAAGCAGATCAAATATTTAAGTTAGATTTAGAAATTGAGAATTTAATTCCTGAAGTATCTGATCTAAAAACAGAAGTCGAGAATAATCAGGAATACAGAGAACGTATCATCTACGCGAAATCGAAAGTTAAGAATTATCTTCAGAATTCAGATAGAAATAAGGCAGATTTTTCGTTGAAGAATAATTCTTCACTTATTTCGAATAGTGAACCAGACAAACCAAGAATAAATTTGCCGAAACTTCATGTAGAACCGTTTGAGGGTAATTTAGAGAAGTTTCAGGAATTTTGGTCACAGTTTGATAATGCGATTCACAGTAACGAACGCTTATCTAAAGTAGATAAATATAATTATCTTAAAGCTTTCTTGAAAGGACCAGCCTTAATTAGTATTCAAGGACTATTGGTATCGGAAAATAATTATGATTTAGCATTTGAATTGCTTAAAGAAAGATACGGGGAAAAAAGAAATTATTGTTAAGATCTCATATTAACCATTTGAATCGGCTTTGTATTTGAGGGAGTTAAGAGAGTTATATGATACGATAGAAATCCAAGTACGGGGTTTACAAACTCTTGGTGTCGAACTGAATTCATATGGAAGTTTGTTGTTTCCACTGCTAACCAAACTTATTCCAGATTCCATTATGCTAGATTTTTATAGACAGCATGAAAAAGACGATTCTTGGAATGTAACAGAATTATTAAAATTTCTTAGAAGAGAAATAGAAACGCGAGAACGAACATTTTTGTTTCGACAAGCAAGGGAAAATTATGAATCAGTTAAAAGCGTAGACTATAAACTGTCAGTTAATAAATTTTTGGAAAAGGGGAATAGATTTCAGAAGTTTAAAAGGAAGCAGCAAGATTCGATTCCTAACGCAACCGCACTTAGCACATTTCAGAAAATTTGCATTTTTTGCATTCTGAGCACAGTTCCGAAAATTGTGATAAGGAACGCGAAGAGAAATTAGAAAGTTTAAAGCGGAACCGGAGATGTTTTCTATGTTTCCAAAAATTTCACGTGGTCCGCTTATGTAAATCAAAAGAGCGCTGCACGACATGTAAGCGTAAACATTCTAGCTTGATTTGTGACGCCAAATGTCTCCCGAGTCAGACAGAGAGTCGCGAAGAAATGAAGAATGACAAAATGAAAGATAAAAATAGTGTCGCGATGAATCATGATGGATTAGCTGACGTTTCAAAGTATTTGAAGAAAGCAATAATTAACGAAAGTGAACCGATCGAATGTTTGATTGATACTGGAAGCGCTGTCAGTCTATTAAGATTTTCAGTTGGTCTTTTCGAAATTACGATTATCCAGTGCAATCAGAAACAAAAAAATTTGTTTGGAATCGGGAGCGTAAATCACGCATCTACAACGCAACGACCTTGGGAAAAGTTCATGTTTCACTTCGAATCGGCGAAATCCAAACAACCGCGAATTTTTTTATCGTAAATGATGAAGTACAGCCGTATGACCTAATTATTGGGAGAGATATTTAAAACGATCAGATGTTGGCTTATGGGAAAATAGGGGATTCGTTTAATATATGGTATGCTAATAAAATTCTATTTGCGCAATTGATAAACGAAACGGAGCGTAAACACATTAAGTTATATTCTGAGAAACCAATAGAAATAAAAAGTAACACGATAAACTTTGTGCATTCTGTAACCCCAGATATAAATAAAGGACTGATTTTATTTTAAAGCAAGCATGGAAGTCTGGATTCAGTAATGGAGGTTACAAATGGTAGGGTAACAGTCTCAGTTATGAACATAGGACACAATAACATCAGATTAAAAGAAAATCAGTGTATCAGCAGGGTTATAGATATAACAGAAGACTGGGAATTAAAGAAAGTAGACACTGCCAATTTAAACAAAGATGAAGAACAAAACCATGTATTTTCCATTTCTCAAAATATTCACCAAATAAAGATAGACGATATAAAATTTGATTAGGTAACTACAGATAGTGAAAGAACTGATATCTTAAAATTAGTAAATGAATTTAGGGATTGCTTTGCTCTTAATTTAAGTGAATTAGGTTGCACGAACGTAATAAAAATGGACATCAAAGAAATTGACGGGAGTAAGCCTGTGTCTTCTCGCCCATACAAAACGAATGCAGCTGAACGTAATGCAATAAAAGAAATTGTTAAGGAATGAAAAGATAATGGGATAGTTTCCGAAACTAGATCGCCTTACGCTAGTCCAGTGTTACTAGTAAAGAAAAAAACAGGGGAATACGGACTAGTAATTGATTACCGCAGACTTAATAGTCAGACGATAAAGGATAAGTTCCCTTAGCCTCGAATAGATGATCTTTTAGAATGTTTAGGAGGATGTAAAATTTTCACTACTCTGGATTTAGCCCATGGCTATTTGCAAATACCCTTAAGTGAAGAAGCTAAATTGAAGACGGCGTTCAGTACTCCAGATGAAACAGGACAGTTCGAAAGGATGACATTTGGGTTAGTAAATGCTCCTGCTGAGTTTCAGCGCCTAATGTCATATGTCCTAGGCCCCTTGTTGAATACTAAGGTGTGTTATATGGATGATATATTTATTCCTGCAAAATCTTGGGAAGAGATGATTTTCAAATTAAAAGAGGTATTAGAATGCCTATGAAAAGCAAATTTAACCTTGAAATGATCTAAATGTGAATTTGGGAAAAGAGAAGTAGATTTCTTAGGTTTTATTATAAACGAAGACGGTATTAGACCGGGATCTAGAAAAATAAATGCCATAACAGAATTTCCAGAACCAAAGAATGTGCACGAAGTGCGAAGATTTTTGGGCCTGACTGGATTTTTCAGACGATTTGTTCCGAAGTATGCGTTAAAGAGCGAACCATTGACCAAGAAAGCCATGAAAGAAGAATCGAGACTTCAAGTGGAAGCAAGA